GGGCTAGATGCAAAGACAAGCAGGTCCGTAAGCCCCGAATGGCAAGCTGCCGACATGAGAGCACGGAACTGGTGATCGTGTAGGTAAGCGGGCGTGCCTATATGATGGGTAAGCATCTAGGCGAAATACCCGTTTGACGCGGGGCAAATGGGTGTGCGGTGGGAGCAGCCTGTTAAGTCTGACAGTGAGGTATTGATCGACTTCCTGTTCCGCGTGCGCCAGTCGCGGGACTAGCCATCGCTCATCCCCCTACCCCCGCAACAGCTGGTTCCTCTTCTGGAGCTGCTTGTCTGCAGCAGGCTTCCCTCCTACCTGTCGTCTCACACGCAAAGCTAGCGCTGCCTGTCTACCTCACGTCCTGCTGTGCCCTTTCTAGCCCTTTGGGACTAGGAGAACTCTGGCCGCCAAGCCCCCTCCTCCCCCTCAACTCAATTCCCTTGCTCCAGTAGGCCTTCTCTCCACTGCCGACACCGAACGAACAGAAACCATCCTATACCATCGAGGCCTTGTAGTGGCGATGACGGTGAGTAATCCATCGGTGGACTAATTCCAGTCACGGAAAGGTGGAGAGACTGACAGTAAGGCAGGGTAGGAGGGTGGGCGGTGTTTGGTTGCGGTCGCGTCGTCGTCGCTCTCCCGCCCCTGTCGCGACGCGGCCATCGCCACCAATGGCCTTTTTCAGCGAAACCTCAGAGGTTGTAAAATTGATTTGTGCTCGTGTGCGTAGGTGTTTGGCCGTCTCTGCCCTCGGGAATGGCACTGTCAAGACGAGAGAAGGGGGTTAGGGTAGGACACTTGAGGCCTGAATGGACTTTTTAGCTTTGCAGGAGACGGTCTGTCCCTTTCACCCTTTCCTCCTCGTCCTGGCTCTGCCTTCGTCTCCTTTTGGCATTGCTTGGGCTTTTTGTCTAGTCTGCAGTAAATACCCGGACGTTCAGACTGACTGCTGCACACTTCTTAGGGTATATTTGGAGCGGGTGGAGCCGCCCATTAACTCCTTGTGCTGTTGGTCTGCTTTGACCCTCGGCTTGGCCGTATTTAGCCTACTGTCTTAAAGTACAGTAGGTAAGTTACTTTACTAATTAGACTACTGGCATTGGACGGTTTCATACATTCGCTTCAATTCTGTTCGATCTCTAGAACCTAAACCAAGCTTTTCTCTTTGATAGGACCCCATCCTGCTGTCTCTTAGCTGTGTTCACCAGTCGGTTCATAGACTGCGCTGAATTGGGAATTATTCATGGCGGATTGATGTTTGCAAAGGATCTCTGGAATTGAAAAGAGGAAAACCACAGTTGATAATAAGCTTTTATCTAAAAATTAAGAGAGGCCTTTCCGAAGATAATTCTTAAATAACTCAACCTTAAGGGGAAAAATAAACAACTATGAACAAGTAGAAAATTGGGCATGAACCGGTATTTAATGACAGTATCGTTTTTTGTGACACTGTGGTGCTATAGTGGCGAGTTTTCACTAAATGACCACTTACCCTCTTTCCCACCCCGTCTTTGGCCATGCCCACACCGATGTCTGACTTGCACTCTGCTGCTTGTACTTGTGTTTGATACGCTCTAATCTTTTCACATGCCCCGGCCCCTACCCTTCCGCTTAATGGACCGCCTGCATGACTGACTACATTTCTAGCTGTTTATCGCTTGTCACTCCCCATGCTGTCTACTCGTAGTCGCCGTGCCGATGTGTATATGGCCCATCGCCCTGTATTTATATCAGACTGTTCACATGGCAATGTCCAAGAATGCGCACAGGTCGCTCGCAATAAGTCAGTGTCTCGAAAGTTAATTATGTCACTATATATTGGTCCCAGCAATTTTTGCTTCGTTAAAATTGGTTCCGGGAAGGAAATATTGCAAATGAATGTGCTTTAAGAGTACTCTGATACTAAGCACTATGGCGTTGGTAGAATTTTTCGCCAAATTTGGATAAAAAATTATGCTGTCACGTCTGGATTAATGCTTTGGCATAACTCCGATTTTTGAGTTCTTCCTATCATAATGAATACAAACAGACTGACCCGCTAGTGGACGCCTGCCAACTATACGTCATGCGGATTACTGGCCAGCGAGAAGGAATGATGTTTGCCAGAGGAATGGAGTAAGTGATCAGTGACCACATTTTCGTGTCATCCAAACGTCAGTAGGCGACTTATTTACGCATAATGGCTCGCCGGCACTCCTCTGACTTCCAAACGTTAAATGCACAGTGAACCTAAAAGTGTTCCAAACTACAACGGCATTGGCGGGTCACGCATTAAACAAAGAGGGCCATGTAAGGGGAGGTTTGCGCAGGACATTCCAGTCTCTGAAGATGGGTAGACGAATCAACTACTCGAAACGTCAGACCTCCAGTAAAACCCCTCCCGTTGAACGCCTCTTCTTTTGATATGCCACCTGGGAATCGCATCTTCACTATTATTGATGTGGATAGTGTGTGTTATAAGAATACGTTCTTAAATGTTACGTCCGTTAACTCGAACAAGTTGATGAATACGGAAGTTTGTTTTCTTCAAATCATAAATGAGACCTACAGTTACACACACGCGAGTTGGGAGTGATGCTAGTTAAGTAAGCTAGCCAATTTTGACAAGGGGGCATAAATTGAGGAAGGACAGAGGAGGGTAAGGGACTGATCACTTATCCGGAGACCATCTGGTGGTAACGATTTGAAGGCCGATCGGTGATCCATGCTCCAGACTTTGCATGAGGCGGATCCTGAATTTCACTGTAAACGTTCCTGGCTGCCCTAGGAGTAATGTGCTAGCGTGCATGACGCTCGCATAATTTAGGGTGCCTGTACCACGTCAGGGATAGAGTATGCTGGTATATGGCGTGCTCCAATTTCTCGTACTTCACGAAAAAGCCTTATCATAGAATCTGACTGGCTGTTTCCCCAAGAATTCCAGAAATGGTAATAAACTATCCTGTCTTCCAAAAATCAAGTTATGATGACGCTTTACCTACTAACTTTACTCTGTTACTCCTGGCGATTTAGGTAAATGAGTTCGATAGCAGTATTCGTCTCTTCTCTGACCTACTCCATTCTTACATTTGTTTCTATTCCTTTTCTTCAATTTCGGTCTGCTTGCTCTCATTTTCCTCTTCTTTATTCCCTCCTAAATTTCCTTCTGCTCAGCCTCGGCAGTTCGTTGCTACGAATTGCATGTGACGTGTCCCAAGGAACGTATTTCACTTAGCAAATAAATAGTGATTTGCTAGACCACTGAGTGCATCCATCCTCCCTTCTTTCTTGCTGCATCCCAGAGGAATAAAATAGATAATTCAATCAGCCAGGTCACGAGATTTCACACCGACGGCATTCATCCGCCTTCCTGGGTCTTTTTTCCTCACAGATCAGTAGACGGCCAACTCAATGTTGATCTAAAAATGTGCAGGTTAATAAAGTTGAGAATTCCAGGATGAAAATGGATATAGAAGAATGCGGCAGACGAACTGATGATGGCCAAAAATGCAGGGGTCTAAAGTTTGGACGATCATTTCGTACGTCGGTGGGGTCTCAGGTCGGCCCCCCAACTCTTGAAACTTCCCGAGACAGGCATGGTACGTAGGCCGCATGCCGTACGATGCAACCTAAGGGCTCACTAGAACGCACGATGAAACCTCCGGAGTTGTCTACAAGGCCTGTTTCGATAATCGAAGTTAAAACTACGTTGCGATAACCGGACAAAAATGCAGACTAGCCTGCATGCGCACAGATTAACAACACATGCGCCAAGCATTAAATGTTAACTTTCGGCCTTCAGGAAACGACCATCTTAGGCAGAAGCCGTTTGAACGCAGAAGGCACAGCTTTTCGATGCCAGTTTCATCAGCAGGCCATCGACTATCCTCGGGCTCAACGAGATCTATGCTATTGTCCGCACAATGATTAGCACATAGTGGTCACGGCGAACTTAATAAGATGGGCTGGTGATAGACATGTACTGGGGTCGCTCGTTGGGGAGCTGACGAGTCATCAGACCGAACAGTCACAGCAGAGGCTCAGTCCCCTCACCGTCGAGATGGTAACTTGTGACGTTAAAATGTGCCCTAACCCTTCAGGCAGCCAAAATTGGAAATGATCGACCAGCCCAAGGTCGGTGGGCTCGGCAGGCTATTTGCATTTCTGTTTGGTTTTGCGCAGCAAACGCTTCGAGTCGGTAACGTATTGTCTTGTCCCCTTGAGCACCACGTCCTACCTCCTGCCTGGACGACATTCGCCTGCCGGTTTTCAAACAACAGTGCACGCTGATCATCAAATGCCATATGTTTAATAAATTTGTCTCAGCAAGTCACACTGCGATTTTGAATTTCGAAATATAGTAGGATGGAGTCGCTATTAATAGGGCATTCTTTTACAACTCTCACCAACTAAGTTAAATCAAATTATTGTAATTACTGTATAAGGACCCAGATAGTAATTTATCAAATTTACTTGCATGAGAACAGCTACCTGGTGAGCCTCTCGAGGCCAAACGATTTTTTGACAATTTCAACAGAAGAGTACCTCGCACCGTCATAGGCTCGCACTGCGAGTCAGGGATTTAGGAAAATCAATAACTCTCTTTCCGTAGCTGAGGGTGGCTACTGTGCCCTGGCGACGTTGTCCTGACAGTAGGTAAACCTAGGTCCGACCAGGGTAAACCGGGACGGGAACGTAATGTAGAAATGCCTTACTATTAACAATTACAGACAGCGACATGTTTATAGGTTTTTCAGGTGACATTACAGGAACAAAGAAGAACAGGAAGAAGGAAAGTTGCACACATCGGAAGCCGTCCGTGAGCAAATTTTTAAAGGAAAGTTACAGGAATACCGCAAGGCAAGATATCACCAAACGT